TGGTTTAATAACCTGTTCTGGTGAAAATGGTGACTTTCTCTGCTCCCCCTAACGTTCCTAGGCGGAAAACCAACCTTGCAACATGGGGACTAACGTCCCAGTAAGTTGGAAACAGGAAGTCTTGTGAGAAGCGAGAACGAGTGAGAAACACAAAATGCTTTATGGCAATTCGACATAAACACGCACGCCGCCCTCAATGTGTATGATGTATTACCCACCTCGGTATAGCTCCACACGATAAAGTTGGCCGGCTCCGATAATAACAAATGCACGTGAGCAGCGGTAGAAAGGGGGAGGAGGGGCCGCAAGTGAGTTTTTTTTTACAACATTGTTGTGAAATATACGTCCCACAGCTGTAGGGGGAGCTCGTTGAGAAAACATGCGACAACAAAAGTGAAAATCAGCGAAGAAATAGCTAGAGTTGCTGAGTTCCCCTTTAAAAACCCATCTTTTTTTAGTGTAGCTAACATTAGCTAGCTAGAATAGAATATGTCGACAGCTAGCTAGCTAATAGTATTGGATATGTTTCTCTTTCTCACAAGTAATTTCTCACTAGGATTTCATGGTCAAGTAACCATAGCCTAATATTCAAATATTATGTCCAGTTATCTTTTACAAAATATCAAATATTTTCTGTGGTTAAAATAAAATAAGACTTGCATCAAATATACAAAAGCAGCAGTGTTGAGTTGTGAAATGTGTGGCAGGTGAATAGTATTATGTAATAATACTATAGTAATAGTATTTATGCAGTAAATATGTGCCTACTTGCAAATATGTGCAAATATCAAAGGTTTCTATATGGGTAATTTTTGACCCATGTTTGTAAAATGTATGTAGAAATACAAAAACTCTGTTTGTATATAAAGTAAGAAAGAAAACATAAATATCAATATTTAATGAATATCTGGAATAACAAATGATAAAATGCATATATTTTAAAGATTCAGCAAAGAAACACTCAGCCATGACTGAAATAACATAGGAAATGAATACGGGTCATTTTAGACCCATGTTGCGCATTAGAAGGGTTGTGATACAAAAACTATTTTTATTCAAAAAGTAAGAAAGTAAAAATAAAAATAAGGATTTGTGATGATCAAAAACAAGTTAATTGAGGAATACCTGGAATACTGAATGATGAAATTAATTTCTTGCAAAGATATAGAAAATTAAAACTCAGTCGGGTCTATTTAGACCCATGTTGTGCATCAAAGGGTTAAAGGGATAGTTCACTTTGAAATTAATTGTTGGTATGTTTTAGCTTACCTCAAGGGCATCCAAGATGTAGGTGTCTTTGTTTCCGCAGTAGTTTCAATTTTGATATTTTTAGGTCAAACCATTCTTGTCTGTCAGTCATATAATGCAGGTCTATGGTCACCACCTCAAAGAGCACGCACAGAGAAGTCCAAATTAAACATGATTTAATGACTCGTAAATGTAAGTACACATTGATGGCCTAAGACACGAAACGAGCGGTTTGTGTGAGAAAACGAACAGTATTTATATCGTTTTTACCTCTTGTAACCACAGCCACGTCCAAGTGATCTGAGGGCGCGGGCGCTTCGGTCTTTTCCGGAAAGCACCGGAAGTGATCTCTCGCGCGTGTACAAGAGGTAAAAACCACATTTTCTCGTATTTGAGGCGTGGTTTACGAATGCCCAGAGCCGTTTATTGGGTGCTACGAATGTCTATCAAATGCGCCTGTACGTAGCTCATAGCCAATCGTTTCAATTATACCAGATGACGCATGCAGAGCGACAGAAATTAGACGATGGGTCAGAGATTTATGTGTACACGATGGCGTATGTATCTAAGTCTGCATGGAAAGGTAACTTCGCGTCTGCTGCCATGTTGGATCCATAGTTATAAACAAACCGCTTCGGTGTGTCGCATAGACGTCGCCATCGTCTTGCTGCTCCCTCCCCGTTCTGTGATTGGTTCCCAAGATGAGGTGAAAATCTGGTCCATGGTATCCAGACTACCAGCAGCGTGAATAAAATCGCGCTGCGCAAAGGCAGTATGGGGAAACCCAGGCAAGCAATTAACTAGAAAGATGTGCAAAAAAGCAAGAACATGTAAAGTCAATGAGTTATTTAGATCACAGCTTGAATGCAGCGAGTGGAGCGATGAGATGTTGACATTTGTTATGTGCGAAAGACCTGTTTTAATTGGATGTGCTCAGTGTGTGTGGTAACATGTTTACACTATCAGGCCTCACACTGTTTTGTCGTCTCTCGACACGTGCCAGCATGCCTATCAGCCTCAAGACGCGTGGCACGCTGGCATCAGGCGATGGGCTCTGAATAATTCAGTCTCCCGGGGGCTCATTGTTGGGTGTTTGAGGGGCCGCACAACGGGCCCGGTGCCAGCGTGAAGGTTAAATGACCGAGTCGTAATAGCTGAGGGATTCTGGCTCCTCTATTTTGAGTCTTTTTATGTAGCACTGATCTAGGGATAGGCCCGATGAGCACAACCGTATCACAGTACGAGTAATTTTTTATCACGGTAACAGTATCACAATATAGATTTTTTATTTGTTTATTTGTTTGTTTGAATGTTTTTGTCTTGATGATTCAGTAAAACAAGCTGAATTAATAAAATTATGCATTTATTTATTTGATGATCCAGTGAAACGAAACTGTAGTGATTTGTAGTATTTTTTTAAAAAATTATTATTATATTTTAAATTTGATAATTTGATAAAACCAAGGAAGTTATTTCATTTTTTTTAATTTTTTTTATACTGTTTAGTTTAGTTTTTATTTATTTATGTTAATTATTGATTTAAATTGTGATAATCTAGTGTGGTTGTGTTTAGTTTTTATTTGTTTGTTTATTTATTATTTTTTGATAATCCAATGAAACTAAAATTAATTAATTTATTATCTTTTTTTGTTGATAATCCATATATCAAAATATTTTATTTTATTATTTTTATTTTATATTAATATAAAAGAAAATTATATTACACAGAATGTAACAAACACTGGGTTTGAACTACTTTTAACTTGATAATATGATACGTGTCTCATTGCGTAGTAAAAGTATCAGGCTGCTTTTGAATGATTGTCAGTGGAGAAGCAGACTCGTTTCCTCCATTAGCTTCTGGATCTTGTTAATCAGCTAAACAAGGTTTGAGCTGGAGAAATGGATCTTCCTATAATGAATTTTCTCTTCCATTACTCCTCCTTTCAGGCTTGAGGAGGTTTTAATTCAGCTTGTCTCCGGGGTCTTTTATCTGCTGACTGTGTCGTGTCACACAGAGCTGCGTAGGGGGTTACGTAGACAATTTTAATGACTTACTTCAGTTGAAATGAAGATGATGTCAGTCTTTAAATAAACCTCTAATTCATTACTGTTCCATAGGCCGATTTAGGCCCGGTTTCACAGACAGGGCTTAGATTAAGCCAGGATTAGGCCTTAGTTCAATTAGGAGCTTTAAGAAGCATATATAAACGTGAAAAAAAAAAAAAAACATTTCTGGTGTGAATCTAGAGACAAAACAATGGCAGTAACATATTTAACATATTTGACTTATAACATACATAAGATGAAAGTTGCTTTCGGTTGCATTTTAGTCTGGGCTAAACTGAAACCTTGTCTGTGAAACCAGGGGTTATCATTGTAACATGTTTGACCACCAATGGACCGGTCAGATTGATTGAACTGTGTTTATCAGTCACGAGATGATTGCAGATTTGTGTGGGTTTTTCAGAGAGGACGTGTATGTGTCCTTTAACTATTTCCTCGTCAATCTTGTTCTCACTGGTATGCTGTGTTACTTTCCATGAGTTAAGCCCTGTGCTTGTCTCCTGAAAACATTCAGCTGTCAAAGCGGTGCGTCACAAATGCGCTCGAAATATCTGAAGCCAGCTGCAACAAACCCCTTTAGTTAAGAAAAACTTTAGTGAATAAACCCTCACTGTTAAAACTAAAGCTTACGACAAACCAAAGCTGATAGACTACAAGTCAATCATTTGTTTGAGTGTTTTCGGCTCTCAAGAGAATAGTTTGACTGGCATTATGTTCTTTGTGACCCTTTCATGACGCTCTGACGCTCTTGACATTGTTCTGCAACTCTGAGGTTCACATGTCAGCAAAGCAACAGCAGGATCACAGTTTTCACACTGCAGTGCAACAGAGCGGCTTCACACTTAACATAAAGGGATTTCCTTTATAGCCATGAATAAGCTATTAAAAATGATAACAAACTTGACTGTCATAAAATCTCATTTAGATGAGGAGAGGAGGAATTCGTATCCGAATGCTAATTAATGTTCATAGATCGTAAGCCAGACAGTGAAGTCAGACTATAACCTGCAAAAATCATCAGATTTACTGAACATAATGTGTTTGTGTGTCTCACTTCCACCAGTTCAGTTCACAAAATCGTGTTTCTAAACTGTATACATTTAAATACTTAAACATGCATAAAAATTAGAATCAACTATATATTGTATTATATTACATTATACTACATTATTATACATTACATTACATTACATTACAGACGCACTGAAATTTCGGCTACCGAAAATGTATAGGAAAAAAAACAACTTTGTTTCAGCCATTCAATGTCCATTACTCATTAGTTAGTTAGACAAAAACGAACTTTAGAGAGGAGCATTTTAATAAATAAATGCACTAAATTACATATTCAATATATTTTTACTTAACTGGTCTTTAATTAATGAATGTTCAATAAATCTTTCATGAAAACAGTTTTAATTACAGCAACCATTTAAATGTTTATATTTGAACAGCGAAATGAAAAGCATACTTGTATCATTTAAAACTGCCCTATGTGCAATTTAAATGACTTTTAGTGTTGATTAAATTAGATTAATTTATTATTAAATAAACTTTATTTGTTGCAGTTTTCAGCTAAATGAAAACATTCCTTTTGGTTTCAGTAAAAATGTATTTTGGATGCATCACTGATTATTGTTTTAATTAGCTTCTGTCTTCATCCATCCTTGTTTTTCTTCCTCTTTTAGGGTTCCACCTGATCCCTAGTTTGCCCTCTATCGTCCCGGAGAGCTGTCTGCTGATCGTGGTGGGTCTGCTGGTCGGTGGTCTTATGAAGGTGGTCGGCGAGGTTCCTCCGGCGCTGGAATCCAATATATTCTTCCTCTACCTGCTGCCTCCCATCATCCTCGATGCGGGATATTTCCTGCCCATACGACCCTTCACTGAGAACCTGGGCACCATTCTCATGTTTGCGGTGGTGGGGACCCTCTGGAATGCGTTTTTCGTGGGTGGTCTGCTGTACGGCGTGTGCCAGCTGGAGGGCGCTGAGCTGGAGCGTGTGGACCTCCTGTCGTGTCTGCTGTTCGGGACCATCATCTCAGCCGTAGACCCTGTAGCCGTGCTGGCTGTGTTTGAGGAGATCCACATTAATGAGCTGCTCCACATCCTGGTGTTCGGAGAGTCTTTACTTAATGATGCCGTCACTGTGGTGAGTACATTGAACTTACAAAAACAAAACAAGAAATTGTGTGTGTGTCTGTCTGTCTGTGTCTGTCTGTGTGTGTCTGTGTCTGTGTGTCTGTCTGTGTCTGTCTGTCTCTGTCTGTGTCTGTGTCTGTGTGTGTCTGTGTCTGTGTGTCTGTGTGTGTCTGTGTGTATCTGTCTGTTTGTGTCTGTGTGTGTCTGTGTGTATCTGTCTGTTTGTGTCTGTGTGTGTCTGTGTCTGTGTGTGTCTGTGTGTGTCTGTGTGTGTCTGTGTGTGTCTGTCTGTGTCTGTCTGTGTCTGTCTGTGTCTGTCTGTGTCTGTCTGTCTCTGTCTGTGTCTGTGTCTGTGTCTGTGTGTGTCTGTGTCTGTGTCTGTGTGTGTCTGTGTGTGTCTGTGTGTGTCTGTGTGTGTCTGTGTGTGTGTCTGTGTGTGTCTGTGTGTGTGTGTCTGTGTGTGTCTGTGTGTGTGTGTGTGTGTCTGTGTGTGTCTGTGTGTGTCTGTGTCTGTCTGTGTCTGTCTGTGTCTGTCTGTGTCTGTCTGTGTCTGTCTGTGTCTGTCTGTCTCTGTCTGTGTCTGTCTGTGTCTGTGTGTGTCTGTGTGTGTCTGTGTGTGTCTGTGTGTGTCTGTGTGTGTGTCTGTGTGTGTGTGTCTGTGTGTGTCTGTGTGTGTGTGTGTGTGTCTGTCTCTGTCTGTGTGTGTGTCTGTCTCTGTGTGTGTGTGTCTGTCTGTGTCTGTCTGTGTCTGTCTGTGTCTGTCTGTGTCTGTCTGTGTCTGTCTGTCTGTGTCTGTGTGTGTCTGTGTGTGTCTGTGTGTGTCTGTGTGTGTCTGTGTGTGTCTGTGTGTGTCTGTGTGTCTGTCTGTGTCTGTCTGTGTCTGTCTGTGTCTGTCTGTGTCTGTCTGTGTCTGTCTGTGTCTGTCTGTGTGTGTCTGTGTGTGTCTGTGTGTGTGTCTGTGTGTGTCTGTGTGTGTGTGTCTGTGTGTGTCTGTGTGTGTGTGTGTGTGTCTGTCTCTGTCTGTGTGTGTGTCTGTCTCTGTGTGTGTGTGTGTGTGTCTGTGTGTGTGTCTGTCTGTGTCTGTCTGTGTCTGTCTGTGTCTGTCTGTGTCTGTCTGTGTCTGTCTGTGTCTGTCTGTCTCTGTCTGTGTCTGTGTCTGTGTGTGTCTGTGTGTGTCTGTGTGTGTCTGTGTGTGTGTGTCTGTGTGTGTCTGTGTGTGTGTGTGTGTGTCTGTCTCTGTCTGTGTGTGTGTCTGTCTCTGTGTGTGTGTGTGTGTCTGTCTGTGTCTGTGTGTGTGTCTGTGTGTGTGTCAGTCTCTGTGTGTGTGTGTGTGTGTGTGTGTCTGTCTCTGTCTGTGTGTGTGTCTGTGTGTGTCTGTGTCTGTGTCTGTCTCTGTCTGTGTCTGTCTCTGTGTGTGTGTGTGTCTGTGTGTGTCTGTGTCTGTGTGTGTCTGTGTCTGTGTGTGTGTGTGTCTGTCTGTGTGTGTGTCTGTGTGTGTGTCTGTGTGTGTGTCTGTGTGTGTGTCTGTGTGTGTGTCTGTGTGTGTCTGTGTCTGTGTCTGTGTCTGTGTGTGTGTGTCTGTGTGTGTGTCTGTCTGTCTGTGTCTGTGTGTGTGTCTGTGTGTGTGTCTGTGTGTGTGTGTCTGTGTGTGTGTGTGTGTGTGTGTGTGTGTGTGTGTGTGTGTGTGTGTGTGTGTGTGTGTGTGTGTGTGTGTGTGTGTGTGTGTGTGTGTGTGTCTGTGTGTGTGTCTGTGTGTGTGTCTGTGTGTGTCTGTCTGTGTGTGTGTCTGTCTCTGTGTGTGTGTGTGTGTCTGTCTGTGTCTGTGTGTGTGTCTGTGTGTGTCTGTGTGTGTGTCTGTGTGTGTGTCAGTCTCTGTCTGTGTCTGTGTGTGTGTCTGTGTCTGTGTCTGTCTCTGTGTGTGTGTCTGTGTGTGTCTGTGTGTGTCTGTGTCTGTCTGTGTGTGTCTGTCTGTGTCTGTGTGTCTGTGTCTGTGTGTGTCTGTCTGTGTCTGTGTGTGTGTCTGTGTGTGTGTCTGTGTGTGTGTCTGTGTGTGTCTGTGTCTGTGTGTGTGTCTGTGTCTGTGTGTGTCTGTGTGTGTCTGTGTCTGTGTGTGTGTGTGTCTGTGTGTGTGTGTGTCTGTGTGTGTGTGTCTGTGTGTGTGTGTCTGTGTGTGTGTCTGTGTGTGTGTGTCTGTGTGTGTCTGTGTGTATCTGTCTGTTTGTGTCTGTGTGTGTCTGTGTGTATCTGTCTGTTTGTGTCTGTGTGTGTCTGTGTCTGTGTGTGTCTGTGTGTGTCTGTGTGTGTCTGTGTGTGTCTGTGTGTGTCTGTCTGTGTCTGTCTGTGTCTGTCTGTGTCTGTCTGTGTCTGTCTGTCTCTGTCTGTGTCTGTGTCTGTGTCTGTGTGTGTCTGTGTGTGTCTGTGTGTGTCTGTGTGTGTGTCTGTGTGTGTCTGTGTGTGTGTGTCTGTGTGTGTCTGTGTGTGTGTGTGTGTGTCTGTGTGTGTCTGTGTGTGTCTGTGTCTGTCTGTGTCTGTCTGTGTCTGTCTGTGTCTGTCTGTGTCTGTCTGTGTCTGTCTGTCTCTGTCTGTGTCTGTCTGTGTCTGTGTGTGTCTGTGTGTGTCTGTGTGTGTCTGTGTGTGTCTGTGTGTGTCTGTGTGTGTGTCTGTGTGTGTGTGTCTGTGTGTGTCTGTGTGTGTGTGTGTGTGTCTGTCTCTGTCTGTGTGTGTGTCTGTCTCTGTGTGTGTGTGTCTGTCTGTGTCTGTCTGTGTCTGTCTGTGTCTGTCTGTGTCTGTCTGTCTGTGTCTGTGTGTGTCTGTGTGTGTCTGTGTGTGTCTGTGTGTGTCTGTGTGTGTCTGTGTGTGTCTGTGTGTCTGTCTGTGTCTGTCTGTGTCTGTCTGTGTCTGTCTGTGTCTGTCTGTGTCTGTCTGTGTCTGTCTGTGTGTGTCTGTGTGTGTCTGTGTGTGTGTCTGTGTGTGTCTGTGTGTGTGTGTCTGTGTGTGTCTGTGTGTGTGTGTGTGTGTCTGTCTCTGTCTGTGTGTGTGTCTGTCTCTGTGTGTGTGTGTGTGTGTCTGTGTGTGTGTCTGTCTGTGTCTGTCTGTGTCTGTCTGTGTCTGTCTGTGTCTGTCTGTGTCTGTCTGTGTCTGTCTGTGTCTGTCTGTCTCTGTCTGTGTCTGTGTCTGTGTGTGTCTGTGTGTGTCTGTGTGTGTCTGTGTGTGTGTGTCTGTGTGTGTCTGTGTGTGTGTGTGTGTGTCTGTCTCTGTCTGTGTGTGTGTCTGTCTCTGTGTGTGTGTGTGTGTCTGTCTGTGTCTGTGTGTGTGTCTGTGTGTGTGTCAGTCTCTGTGTGTGTGTGTGTGTGTGTGTGTCTGTCTCTGTCTGTGTGTGTGTCTGTGTGTGTCTGTGTCTGTGTCTGTCTCTGTCTGTGTCTGTCTCTGTGTGTGTGTGTGTGTCTGTGTGTGTCTGTGTCTGTGTGTGTCTGTGTCTGTGTGTGTGTGTGTCTGTCTGTGTGTGTGTCTGTGTGTGTGTCTGTGTGTGTGTCTGTGTGTGTGTCTGTGTGTGTGTCTGTGTGTGTCTGTGTCTGTGTCTGTGTCTGTGTGTGTGTGTCTGTGTGTGTGTCTGTCTGTCTGTGTCTGTGTGTGTGTCTGTGTGTGTGTCTGTGTGTGTGTGTCTGTCTGTGTCTGTGTGTGTGTGTGTGTGTGTGTGTGTGTGTGTGTGTGTGTGTGTGTGTGTGTGTGTGTGTGTGTGTGTGTGTGTGTGTGTGTGTCTGTGTGTGTGTCTGTGTGTGTGTCTGTGTGTGTCTGTCTGTGTGTGTGTCTGTCTCTGTGTGTGTGTGTGTGTCTGTCTGTGTCTGTGTGTGTGTCTGTGTGTGTCTGTGTGTGTGTCTGTGTGTGTGTCAGTCTCTGTCTGTGTCTGTGTGTGTGTCTGTGTCTGTGTCTGTCTCTGTGTGTGTGTCTGTGTGTGTCTGTGTGTGTCTGTGTCTGTCTGTGTGTGTCTGTCTGTGTCTGTGTGTCTGTGTCTGTGTGTGTCTGTCTGTGTCTGTGTGTGTGTCTGTGTGTGTGTCTGTGTGTGTGTCTGTGTGTGTCTGTGTCTGTGTGTGTGTCTGTGTCTGTGTGTGTCTGTGTGTGTCTGTGTCTGTGTGTGTGTGTGTCTGTGTGTGTGTGTGTCTGTGTGTGTGTGTCTGTGTGTGTGTGTCTGTGTGTGTGTGTCTGTGTGTGTGTGTCTGTGTGTGTGTGTCTGTGTGTGTCTGTGTGTATCTGTCTGTTTGTGTCTGTCTGTGTCTGTCTGTCTGTGTGTGTCTGTGTGTGTCTGTCTGTGTCTGTCTGTGTGTGTCTGTGTGTGTCTGTGTGTGTCTGTGTGTGTCTGTGTGTGTCTGTGTGTGTCTGTGTCATCACCACCAGCAGCCTGAACCGTTGATGCAATGCAAGATGGATCCATCCATACTTTCATGTTGTTTGTCAAATTCTGACCCGACCATCTGAATGTCACTGCGCAAATCGACACTCATCAGACCAGACAGTGTTTTTACAATCTTCTATTGTCCATTTTGGTGAGCCTGTGTGAATTGTAGTGGTCTTCTGCTGCTGTAGTCTGTCTGCTTCAAGGTTGGATGTGTTGATCATTCAGAGACCTCGGTTTTAACAAGTTACTGTTGCCTTTCTATCAGCTGAACCAGTCTGGCCATTCTCCTCTGACCTCTTGCATCAAGGCATTTTCACCCACAGAACTGCCACTCACTTGATATTTTCTCTTTTGCGGATCAATCTCTGTAAACTCTAGAGATGGTTGTGCGTGAAAATCCCAGTAGATCAGCAGTTTCGGAAATAATGACCAATACGAGTCACTCAAATCACGGTTTTCCCCCATTGTGGTGCTCAGATCATCTTGACCATGTCTACTTGCTTCAAACGCATTTTAGGACTTCCAGTTCCATCGTCCTGAAGTCAAACGGGTTATTTGAACGGGTTTTTAGTTAAATGCTTGAAATAAGGTCTGTGGTGAACACACAAGCTCAAAAT